ATTTAGCGTATTTTGACTATGTATTATAATTTTAAGATTTAATTTAGAGAAAAAAAAAGTAGAAAAAAGTATATTGAAGTTAAACTATTTAATAGATTATGTAAAGAAAAATTAGATTAGAGGCGATAACTTTATACATTAAGACAAAGTGGACATATGATATATTTCAATGATATATTGAATTTGAGAATGAGTGTAAGAAAAAGTGAAAAGGAAGTGATAAAATAGTTCAGAAGTTATAAAGGGTTAAATAGATTATTTTAGGTAGATGTATTAGATGCGATTACCCGAAACCTTAGAGACAAAGATCAATGAGAATAAAGATATCTTAAGACAAAGTCGATATCCTGGCAAATGTAAACTGTCATAGAAGACTCGGAAATCTAAAAGATCGATACGTTACAAGAATTAGATGAAAGGAGCTAAACAATTACAAGAGAACGTGAGAAAAAAAGAGACTAGATAGAACAGATGTTCAAGACGTTCACGCTGCAATCGTTAATCGCTGACCAATATAGCCAAGTGTTTACTGAAACTCTAGTCTAAGATACGAAAGTCGATGATCATAGAAACAAGAATTCGTGGAAACAATAGTAATCGCAGACAAATTATTGCCAATCATTTACCGAGAAAAAGCGTTAATCGATTGCAAGAGAACATTTTAAACAAGAAACTAGATAGAGCAGATGTTCGAGACATTCATGCTGCAATCGTTAATAGCTTACTAATATCGCCAATTGTTGATGGAAACTTTAGTCTAAGATACGAAAGTTGATGATCATAGAGACCAGAATTCTTGGAAACAATAGTTAATAGCAGACAAATTATCGGCAAACATTTACAGAGTTAAAGAGCCAATCGGTTAATACAAAAGAACGTTAGAAATAGGCGACTAGCAAGAACAACTGGTCAATGCTGTCAAGCTACATTCGTTAAAAAGAGTCGTCATCGTTTACCAGATAATATGCTAATCATTAATTACCAGAAACCGTTAGAAACAAGCAAAGACTAGGATAATTTTACCAAAGGAATTAAAACGAAATATAATTAAAAAGAGACTAAAAGAATTCATCGTGAATCGTGATAACAGGCGTGAATCGAGTTCGTCAATTGCCTATAGAGATCAAGAGATAATAGTTTACCAGGGGTTGACAAGAAACAAAAGGGTTCAAGAATTTCAGATTGTAATCGGATACAAACAGTCATTAGTAGTGAAGAATATTAGACAATAGACAACCATCGTTAAAACTTAGAAGACATTAAAGACTAAGCAAAATAGAGTAATGGAGATATACGATCAGTAAAGTCGAAATTGAAAGAAAGTAGGTCATTCGCTGAATGGTGGGTCTGATTTAAGTGGAAGGGTGTTGTGATATTTAAATGAGTTAAGGAAAAATGAATAAAAAAAGATTTATTCATATTAGATAAAGTTCAAGATTATTTAAGTTTGTTGTTTAAACACTATGTAAATGCTTGTTTGTTATGAAAAAAGAAAAGATATTGGGTTTATATAAATTTTTGAATAAAGATTTAAAGTTGATTATAATCAGACGGAATTTATTATGTTATAATGATGATGTTAATTTTATATAAAAGACACAATTTTTATAATTTAATAGACTTTTAATTTTTTTTACTTTTTTTTTAACTTTCACTTAATTTTCCGCATATTTTTAGTATTTTATACTTTTACTTTTTTCTTTTTTTTTGGTTATGTTTTCCCTTTATATTGATTTATATAATTTATAATTAATTTTTGGTATTAGTATTTAATAAAGGATTCAAAACTATAATTTTAGTATATATTTTTATTTCTATTTTATATTTAGGTTCTAATCTCCCAATTCAAAAACATCCAACTGTGACATCTTGTACGCATGAAGGATTATTTAAATATACAAATTTACCTTTTGATATATCGTCTTCACAATATTTCAACGGGCAATCGATAATTTGTTGAAAGGTTTTGAAGGAGTAGCTTGTTATTTAGATGATATTATAACAATCGGGAAGAATAGAGAGGAACACGAAACAAATTTAAAAAAGGAAGTAAAATGCTAAGACAAATATGGAATCAAGCGAAATAGAAAATTGTAAATTTTCAAACAAAATATCTAGTACTTAGGACTAGTGTTGTTAAACGGCTCGTTTTGAGCCGATTTTTAAAAACGGCTAACTCAATATTTCATCTAGAATAATATTACACAAGCCTGAAGATTTTGAGAAGGAACAAAGGTTTGGACATCTATTAGCGAAATCTCGAGGCTTAGGCAATATTTGTCTGGCTAAAATATTGAGTTAGCCGTTTTTAAAAATCGGCTCAAAATGAGCCGAACACTACTAGGACACAATATTTCAAAAAACGGGATTACAACTACCAAAAAAAATATTGAGGCAGTAAAAAACATCAAAACCAACAAACTTGATACAATTACAGTCATTTCTAGGGTCATCAACTTACTATTTAAAAATTTTTTCAAATTGCAGACAAAACCAAACCAGTATATAAATTATTAGAAAAAGCAGTATTTTGGAGATGGACAAATGAATGAAAAGAGGCGTATAAAAAACTAAAGCAAGAAATGAGTAGTACTCCAATATTACAACATTATGATCCAAAATTACCGTATTAGCGACAGATGCGTCAGCCATAGGATTGGGGGCAGTAATATCACATATAGAGGTGGGTAAGGAGAGACCAATTGCATTCGCCTCAAGAACGCTAAATGCAGTCGAGAAAAAGTATAGCCAAATGGAAAGAGAAGGTCTTGCCATCACATTTGGGGTTGCAAAATTCAGAGAATTTATATATGGAAATAAGTTCACATTACAAATAGATCACAAGCCATTAATGAGTTTATTTCATTCAAGAAAAGATATACCAACAACATAGACTGCCAGAATACGATGATGGGCTATATTATTAGCAGGTTACCAATATGAAATAGAATTCAAAAGTAGTCGACAACTAGCCAATGCTGACATGCTATCTCGATTACCTATACAGGGAACCACAATATCAAAAGAAGAAACACTAGATCAAATACAGTTGGGAGATCAAGCGTAAATGCTAGCGAAATTGAAAGAAAAACAATGCAAGATGATGTACTCTTTAAAGTATACAGGTATACATACAATAGATACATGTTTAAATGGAATAAAATCACAACAGAGAGAGGTTGTTTATTCTGGAGAATTCAAATAATAATGCTAAGACAATACCGAAACAACGTGTTAGACATGATACATCAAGGACATATTGGAATGGTAAAAATGAAGATGAGAGCAAGACAATACGTGTGGTGGCCTTATATAAACAAAGATATACAAACATGGGTCGAAAAATGTAGAGAATGCCAGGAACAACACGATATGCCTCAAAAGACATCAATTCAAAACTGGCCAAAACAACCAAAAGCATGGCACCGAGTACATATTGATTATGCTGGAACATTTAAAAATCATTATTGGTTGGTAGTGATAGATGCTAGCAGTCGCTGGCAAGAAATATTCCCCATAACTAGTACCACCTTCGAAAGCAAGATAAAAATATTAAGAAATATCTTTGCCAAATAGGATTTCCTAAGATAATCGTTTTTGATAATAGGCCACAATTCAGCAGTAAAGAATTCAAACGGAACACAATTAGTGAACGGAAGTTCATACCATTCTCGGACTAATGCAATGGCCGAACGTTTAGTTCGAACCTTTAAACAGAGAATGAATTAAAAAAACGAGGGGGATTTAGAAAACAGTTTAGCTATTTTTCCCTATAATTACCGAAATACACCAGGGGCAAAAAATGAACAAAGTCCCGCCGAAATACTACTAAAAATTAAACCTAGAGGATTGCTATACCAAATATTCCAACGGAGAAACAAAAAGAAAAAGTTAAAATACTACACTCAAAAATTCGAGATGAATGAGAAAGTGTGGTCACGCATTTACATGCGCGACGAAAAAAATGGGGAAAAAGGCCATTATTAAAAACATACTCGGATCACTATGATATGAAGTAAATATAGAGAATAAAACGATTATACGTCATACTAATCAATTAATGAAAAAAACGAAAATATATTAACTGAAGAGTACGAAGTAGAAGAGAGAACCGAAGAGATAGTAAACAAAGAGGACGTAGTAAACAATAACGATAAAATGAACCTAAGGGAGATGGAGAAAAATGTTACAAGTCAAGAAGCTGAAGGAAATATTATACAAAAGTTAGAAATTACAAGCTAAGCTTGATATACAAAAATAATACGAACGTAACCAATTAGATTGGGAATAAATGTTATGTATTGAATTGTTTATTTTGTTATTTTTGTATTTTTTGTAAAATGTTTATTTTCATTATTATATTATTATATGAATTAGAATAGAAAAAGAAAATGCATTTTGACAAGGAATAAAATAAAATTATATAATTACTTTTAACATTATATTTCGAGAATTACTCCTAACATTACATTTCATAATATATGCCCATTTGGTAGAACTTATAACTTGGAAATGTCAAATAATATAATTTACAAAAAAAAACAAGTCAACCATTTTTATATTCTCATTCGTGGTTTTTGGCGTATAGTTGGCTACTTTTATTAATGATAAATGCCTGCAAAAAAGGCTAATATGCATCCTACAAAAATCCTGCCCAGATCTTCACATTTAATTGAAAGTTAATTACAGGATATTAAATTAGCATAAATATTGTATATTATATATGATTTAATTGAAATTATATTATCATTTGCAATTGATATCTAGTCTGAGTAACCTTTATGAAAAATTTTATTTGTTAAGTAAAAAATTTAATCTACCTTTGAGGCGTCAAAATTTTAACGATTATAAATCATGTAAATACATTTTTGGCTTAAGTATCAAACCTCAAGGTATATTAGTTTTAAATTTATTTGATAAGAAAATAATTGTACCGAGATAAAACTATCCCCCGTCTCCCCTACTTATCAAGTAAGAATATTTAATAATTTAAAGTTTACCTCTTTGACCCGGTATATTTTGCCCCGTTCCTGGAATTCCCTGAAGACCTATTAATAATAAATCGTATGTTAACTAAATAGTAAATATTTTATAGTAATAATAAAAAATAAAATATTATTAATTGGATAGTTAATAATAGGGAAATATCGCATTTTTACTATATAAAGTCTCCTAATCAATTTGAAAAATTTGCTTGCTGAAATTTGGATAGTATCTCATGTGAATTTTTGCAAAATATAAACTATTCAAGTTTTCTTAAGAGATTCATGATCTCTGCAATGAGCAGGTTTTTAGCAAGCCCCCCCCCTCATACTTTAGGTGTGAGCAAGTGGTTCTAAAAATTTCAAACATAGGGTGGGCGGGTTAAAATTATTTTTAAAACAATGAGATTAGATAGTGGATCGGTATATTTAAATATTTTCGGGCGAAAAGAACAGAAGAGCTTATATTTATTAAAAACCAATTTTTTATTTGCATATTTTATAAATTTAAATAACAATGTATTGAAATTAAATAAATAAAGAGCCAAACCAACCAAACAAATAATTTTGAAAAATTGGGCCGGCTGGCGAATTATACAAATTTTATAGATGAATGAGCGGGCGAGTAAATTTTTATAAACCATAGGCGGGTAGGCAATGGTCTAAATTATCTTAAACATTTGGCGGGTGAGATTTTGAAAACCCGCCCTTTGCATTATTCATATATTTAAGTTATCAACAAGGATTATATATTCTTACTCGGGTTAAAAAAAGTTACATTTATATGACATAACCTGCATCTCCTTTATCCCCTTTAGGACCGGTCCATCCATTTTGTCCCGGTTGTCCGTTAGACCCGGTTCTCCCAGGTAGGCCTGCTTCTCCTTTGGGACCTGGCGAACCAGGAGTTCCATCCAACCCATCTAAGCCTGGTCTACCAGCGGATCCAGTCATTCCCTTCGGTCCGGGTGGCCCATTTTGGCCGGGAAGGCCTCTATTTCCTGGTGGACCCTGACTCCCTGGAGTCCCTGCTGATCCCTTTTAAAAAATTTGTGTTTTGTTTTAATTTTTTTATTTGTTTATTAGATTAAGTTTAATAAAACAACACTATAATCAAAATACTACAGTATTAATATACATGAACCGGGGAGATTTTTTAAATAGATTAGAACGGATGTGGGTATTTCTTAAATATTTTTGTCGGGCAATTTGGAAGGTTTTAAATGGTAGATTTATGTACTAATTGAAATGAAATTTAAATTGTAAAATCTTTCTTAATTTTCTTAAATTAGAAATAGATAGCTAAACCAGCTAAGCTTCTATTTTGTTCGAATACTAGCTAGTTAGTTCTAACTAAACCTCTAGCTAGTTTGTATAATATAATGATTAAATAGGAACTATTAAAAATTACTTTTAAATTTTATCCCTTTTCCCCTTTATTTTATATTTAAACGAAATAAATAGTTTTCATTTAAAAAAATATATAATAATATAGCAATTAAATATAAAATTTGAAAACATCTTACCTGACTCCCAGGAGATCCAGAGGGCCCGGTTGGACCGTTATCACCTGGCAAACCAATCGAGCCCCTGTCACCTTTAATACCGGGTGGACCGTTCAATCCATCAAAACCCCTATCTCCCTTTTCACCTTTTAGACCTGGCAGCCCATCAAAACCATCTGTCCCTGGGGCTCCTGGGGTTCCGTCTCTCCCTGAGAAAATATATAAATAATATGAAAAATTACTTTATTGAAGAGAGATATTTTAAAAAATTCAACTTTGTAACATTGTATTATTTGGAGTATACATTATTTTTTTTATATAACTGCCTACTCGGAATTTAGACAAAAAATTAGCTGCTTGTGGCACCTTACTCCATCCTAGTTATAATAAAGATTAAATATATTAAATATTTATTTATTGATAAATTGGTAAATGATAAATTGGTAAATGATAAATTGGTAAATGATAAATTGGTAAATGATATTTCTTTCTTAAAGCGTGGAGACAGAACTACCTAAATGCTAATACCCATCACACTACTCCTCCTTTATTGAATTGAATTCAATTTTTCGCCTAAAAATTTGCTAATAAATACTAAGACTAATTTAATAACTCATCAAAGTCTAGAATGGGCCAAATGGAAAGAAAAAATAACAGTTCTCTTGCATGATTTTTATAAGCGAAAATAAAAAAAAACTTCTTTATGTCTATTGTCAAAGTCAAGATTTTTTAAAGGTTATTAATATTAATGAAATAAATAATTTTAGAAATCTAAACATTGACCCCCGCTAATAAAGAAAGTGTTATACCTTGTACCAAATAAAAAAGAAGCGGTTCAAATCCAATTAAAGAAATCATATTCCTCTTCTCTTTTTCATAATTTCTTTAAGATAAATGATACTGATTCTCTTTAAAAATTTCACTAGGAATCACAGTCCAATTTAATTTCTGCTGTTATCAAACCTGGCCTGATATTTTTAGGCCAAGCTCAGACTTTAGGTAACAGAGCTATAAGCAATATGACAAAGTGGCATGGGAAAATTAAATAATTAAATTTATACCAAATATAAGTGCCTACTAAAAAATAACTCGAGTTCAAAATTAGAAAAAAAGAATTGATTTGGAATAAATTTATAAAAAATAATTTAAAAAATACCGGGTAATCCAGGGTTCCCATTTTTCCCACTATCGCTAGGAGAGCCTGGCAAACCCATACTTCCTTTAGGTCCAATTTCGCCATTCAATCCTTTTGGGCCGGGTGCACCGGGTAAGCCAGGCCAGCCGTCTAGACCTTTAGAACCCTTTAAGAGTATATTATATATTATATTATTTATATTTTAAGGTATAGACTTTTTATCAACATTATTTGTCTAAATTTAGTATATGTAATATATTCTCTTATATAATATCATATTACAATTAGTGTATATATACAATATGATTGAAAAAAAATTAAATACAAACCCGAGCCAGGCGGGTTTAAAGAAAATTAATTTAGAATATATCCATTAACAGTTAAAAATTCATACAATATAATGAAGTGTTTAATATTTATATACGCTCATATTTTCAATTCTCCTATAAAACAATGTATAAAAAAGCCAAAGTCATTTAAAATAATGAAATTTTAAAAATCCAATTGACCCGCATTATGCAAAATTATAAAAATTGACAGGTCTTGAAAAATATGAAATTAATGTTTGCCGGCTTTAAAATTTGACTTCTACAGGTCTCTGCAATTATACAATAATATATATTTAAAAACACTATACTAAAAGAATGTCATTCGCAGATAAATCGAATCGATATACATTGTAACCTGCAGATCTCGATTAATATCCTATGTGGTAAAATAATTATATTCTTGCGGGTCCTCTGATATTGCACTCAATTAAATGGTTTTGAAAATCACGGGATTTTTAACCACTAAAATATCAGCTATGTACATTAATGTGATGTTGGCTACTTTCTGTATTTTATTTTGATATAAACATTAAATTGCATCTAAAAAAAGGTGAGAGCTTAAGGTTTTTTTCTAGGCTAGTGGGATTTACTCTACTACATGTGTCGGACCATAGGAGCTGACTTTTTTGTGGTGACCAGGCCAACAGATTCTGAAATTAATGAGATTTTAGCTCTGAGAAGATGACTAGTAATAAAGCTGGAGAGGATGTCAACTTTTAGAGAAGTGACAAAAGAGGAGAAGGTGAAGGCCGAGACTATTGTTATAGTCCATATATTACATATTATAGTATATTGATGCAAGAATCTAATCGAAGGCATAGTAAGATTCGAAGTTATTTATTAGATAATAGTAAAAGGTAGCTTCAAACCATTCATATCTAAGTTAAATTACTGGGGTCTAAGGGAGAAAATCGCTTGGGTAATTGGTATCTGCCATCCATCTTTGTAAAATAAATTGCATAACTGAGGTTCTTTAGTTAAAAAATAATAAGATATTACTTTATTCTTAACAGCATCCGAATAATTAAAAGTAAGTTTCAGTCTTGTCTCTTTAATGAAATAGGACAAGATGCATTAAGCATTCTATTTTTAATGGTCTCATGATCATTTAAAATATCTAAGGTGTAAACCTATTTATGATAATATGACTTCGTGGAGAGATAAGAAGCGGGAACTCAAACAGAGGAGATAAAAATCGAAATCAGATTGGTTAAAAGAGCTATCAACGAGATGGATGAGAATTTAAGGTTAAGAACTCTTAGTTAATTTTTAAATAAAGCATATACTAGTTTTTAACTGAACTGAATTAGTATAATTAATTTTTTTAAAGTGACCATTATCAATTTAGAATTATGAGGTTAATCCTTTTGTGAATCATATTTAAATTCTATAAATTGTTACAGGGGTCCCTGGACTGCCATCTTTTCCGTTCCTTCCTGGATTTCCGCCTAAACCGGATTCACCTTTCTCTCCATTCGGACCTTGATTTCCATCATTACCTGGGGGTCCTTGAGGTCCAGGAGGGCAATCACATTCTTAGAATTTTTAGTTTTATTTGATAAATTTTATAAATTGAAAAATATATTTATGTATTTGATCAACTTGACGAATAGTGGTGGAAATTATTTGGAAGTAAAATTAGGATTTTAAACCGCTGGTCTTAAAAGGTATAGAAAATTTGCAAACCCGGATCGGGCCTATAAATAAAAGAAAACTGGGCCCAGTCTATATATTAAAAAGAAAACAATTCGCTCGATTTTTGAATATATATTAAAATTATACCAGTCCTACTTAGGAAATATATAATGTATCCTTTATTTTATTTTTCCTAAGAAACAATTTACTATATACAGTCAAACACAAAATTATTACCAATAGCGTAATTTTAAAAATCTGGGAAAGATCAGTTTTAAAATAATTAAATTTTAGAAATTTAGGCAGGTCTTAAATATATAAAATCGGGCTGGCGTATAAGATGGATTATTATTATTATTTATATTTGCGGAATAAGGTTATTTTCATTTATTTTATAATATTCGATGCGGAGATATTATATCCGTTTTATTTCTTCCAAAAAAATACAGGGTTTCCCAAAAGAAGGAAACGGCTCGATAAATAAAGTATACTGTCATCAAAAAAAATAAATCTGATCAAGGATATAAAATTTTATAAAAAAGGAACAAAGGCTTAAGAAAAGGTCTTATCGAAGTAAGATCAACAATGAATAAAAGCGTCAAAAAAGGAAAATATCAAAAAGAATAATTCAGATTAGCCCCTCATTCACAGTTAAAAAATTCGCGGCAAATAGAAAAATTCCACACTAAAAATTTTAATAAAAAGAAAAGTCCCGATTCAAAAAAAAAAAATAAAAATGTGCAAAGTATGAAAATGTATTGGTATATTTCAGCTGAAATATGACCTAGATAACTGACGATTCTATTTTTCAATCTGCAAAATTATATCAAAACTATTGTTAAAAATATCGATTTCTAAATATTCATAAAAAATTGAAAAAGTTTATAAATGACAATTAAGACAATTTTAATATTTCCACTTATATATCTATTAGATTGTTTAAAATATCCATTTTTTTTAAACTTTTTTTCGCAAAAATATATTGAAAACGTAGAAAAATAAAGAATAATATTTTATCAAAAATCTTTTAATGTTAATAACATTGGAACTCGAACTAGAACCCAATTTAAAATTTCAAGGAACCAGTTTTAACAAAAATGCAACTAATTTATATAAATATACCGGGTGGCTCTAAAACGCATCACTTGGTTTTTCTTTATGAAGTTTCGTACTTTATTAAAGAATATATTAAACCTAATATCCTTAAAAAAATATTTGTTTTTTAACTATTCGTATTTTTTATTTAAAATTTGCTCGAGTCGTTCTCAATCCTTTAAAGTCCTGCTAGCTAATTTGGCATCATTAACTTGCATGTTATTTTATACCCACTAAAAACGTTTAATGATTTAATTTGACATTACAACATAATTATATTATAATTTCAATCATATTTTATTAATTCTCAAGCTAATATAGGCTTTTGCTTGTATTTTATTACTTTTTAACTTTTCCTCTCTTTTATTTTCCGATTTTGACAAAATTATAAACATTCTATTTATTTTTTATTTTTTATGATATACTCAATTATTAGTGGATTTCAGAATCTCACAATATATATTATATTGCTAGCATTTTTATTTTTAAGAACATAATTTTTGTAGGGGAGACCGGGGTAAAACGATAGGCATTTTGCATATTTACCATAAAAATTTTAAACAAGAGTCAAACACAACAAATTATAGATCAATGTGTAGCCCCATCCCTCTTCTACAAGATAAAAAAAAGTGTAGCCCTCTATCTATAATATTTTAAGAGCTATGATTTGTTATGTAAAACTACTCATTTTCGCCATTTTACCCTGGGTACAGGGTAAAATGGATAAGCACTAGGGTAAAGTGGTTAAAATAATATTTGACACATATTTATTGTTTTATTTAACAAATATTACAAATTTAAGATTTATTTATGATTTTTATTTAAAAACTAATCGATACAATAAGGACATGTAAAATAATTATCATAATTAGCACATTTAGAATGTGCACATTCAAGGCACATTGTACATTTTAGCCATTCATCGCCCTCGCGACTATTTTTATAGTTTTTATTACAAATAACACATAAACAATTATTTTTTGATATCTTTTTTTTTCTCTGAATTAATAATTTTTTTTTATAAGGTGTAGATGTTAATATTTCTGAATTCTTTTTTTTAGATATTTTATCCGATGAAATATTGAATAATTTTGGAATAGGTATTATAGATGAAGGATTGAATACTTTATTATAATTTTTTGAGCATGATGGTAACATATCATGATAGGGTTCATCAATATCATCTGGAACATTTTCGTTCAATAATATAGATAAATCACTATCATTATTTTGAGTCACTGTAAGATTTTGAGTCACTGTAATATTTTTATCATTATTTTCAAATTCAATATTTGAGCTAGCATTTGAATTATTACAGCAGATATAATCTTGTTCTGTAAATATATTTGGGTTTAAAGGAAATATGCCACATGCTAAGAACCCATTTAATATATTATTTGGTGTCACTGCCCTTGGTATTTCATTTTTTAACACTCCTGGAATATCATAAATCTGAAATTGTTGCCCCACATGATTTCTCATCCATGTGTCAATAGCTCCATTATAAAACTTTTTCAATGGCCCATAAACTGCTTTGTCTAATGGTTGGAGTTTATGCGAGCAATGTGGTGGAAGTGTTAGAATAACAATCCCATTGGAGCGACAATAGTTTATAACGGAAATTGAACAATGAGAGCTATGGTTATCTAAGATTAATAAGACATTTTTCTCATTGGATGCACTAGAATATTTTTTAATGTGTTCCAAAAAAGATAAAAATTCCTCCTCTTACATTCAACCCGATGTGTTTCCCACACCCTTAGATCCAATAGGCCCATCACGAATAAAGTGATCTTTGTATCGTTTTCTTGGAAAAATAAAAAATGGTGGAATGCTATGGCCTATAGCATTGATGGCTAAACATATGACGTTATAGAGCCGACTTGTTTGGCACCCTTCTGTGCTATAATTTTTGCAGGAGTTTGAACGGTGGTGAAACCACTTTCATCTTCATTCCATATATTATGTGGTTCAAAGTTATAAGAATTATATAGCTTAATTAAATTTTCAAAAAATTTATTGACATTTGTGGATTGAAGCCATATGCTCTTGCTAGACTAGTAGCTTCAGGGGTACGAATCGAAAGTTGGGAATGTCGTTTTCTAAACCCCATAAACCAGTTCTCTCCAGCCATACCATTAGTTGTCCAGCTTTCTGGGAAAGATTTGCCATATTCTTTAGCAAGCTGATATGCAAATCCTCTTATCTTGTTTATTTATAAAATAAAACTATTTCATTTTAATAATTAACAATACCAGTTCCATAGAGTTAAAATGATATATAATTAATTAAATAAATTGAATTAATTTCATAATTTTAATAATGCTCAATTGGTAACTTTAATATTAAATATCAATATTTATTTGATTATAATAAATGAATGAATGAAAAATTTAATGTGAATAATATTTTAACCGTTTTACCCATAACAGCTTTACCCCTAGGTGACATATATTATATATATCGTTATTGCGTGACTTCTAATATAGCTAAAGATGTCAGATAAATTTTATTTTATAGTTAATACATTAAGGAACATGTGTGCCAAATTTCGAATCCTGAGGATATGTAAATTTTACTAAAAGCAAAATATACTAGAGATTGATTTTTATATTTTTTGGGTAAAAAACAGTTTTTTGACAAAATATATAAAACCAGGTAAGTTTTTTAAAAGATGAACATAGGTAAGAAATTAGATATAAAAATACATCTTCACACCAAATTTAAGGTCTTTATACTCAATGGTTAAAAAGTTATTCGCATTAACATTGTTACCCCGTCAATCGCTTTACCCCGGTCTCCCCTATTTAGGCTCCATAGATGCCATATAAAATCATTATTTTTTTAATAAATATAAAATTTAAACTGGAAAATTTCCATCTAAGGAGTATACTTATTAAAAAAAAGTAGGACTTTAAAGGGGAATAAATTGAGAATTTATTTTTAAAAATTTTTTTTACTCATTAAAATAAAGTCGGATAAAGGGGAATAAATTGAGATCAAAAATTTAAAAATTTGACAAAAAACTCAAGAACCTCAAAATATTTTTCTTCAAAAACGGGCTAAATTGGTGCCCGTAGCTGGACTCTATTTTCTAAATTTCTTTCCTAATTATCAAATTATCATAAAGTATTTAGGTTAACAAACAAATATGAGTATATAAAATATTAACATCTCAAAAAATTAAATTATAATTTTGTATAAAATCTTATACTGGATAAAATTATGTTTTTATATTCTCCGAAACAACTTTTACCACTGTGATAAAAAATGAACTTTATGCTAAACACCTCTCCCTTTCATATCGCTTTATCCATGCAGGAAAAAATTCAACTGAATTATCATGTTTGGATTGGAATGAATTAAAAATTTTACTTTGCAAAAATAGAATATGACCTTTTAAATCTTGAGACAAACTTGTAAAAAAATTTCGTAAAATACCCTAAATTTTGCAAGAAAAAATTATTTGGTCTTTGACAGTAAAACAAGAGATTGATATGTGTTATATATAAAAATGTATTTTTGTGTTTTACATTATAATTTATGATTAGGGCAATGACATATATAATACCTAGACTGACGATTCATTCATTAAAATGCATGTTTAAGCGTCGTTAAGCAAATCGGCTGGACCCGCCATTTTGGTAACACATGTAATTATTCTCATGTTAAAAACTACTATTAAATTGATAACTTGCTTCCTTATTATCTCGATGATCCGGTAATTCTTTAATAAAGTTTGCATGAGATATAGGAATAAATTAGGCTCTCGTTTAAAATTTTAATAATGATTAGTGTAACCAAGATGGCGTCTCCAGCTGATTTGCATTGATTTACATTTTTAATGAATGAATCGTCAGTCTAGGTATTATATATGTCATTGGATTAGGGATAAATTTTGAGGGGTGAGCGTCAAGTTATAATCCAACACAATGGAAAACCTTCTAACCCTTTTAAAGAAACTGGAGTTATTTTTTCTTCAAATTTTAACATCAATGTTTCAAAAATTATACAAACTATTGTGTATTATTAATTTTAAAGGGTTTATTTATTGTTGAAATATTTTTGCATTACTTGATAACAATTTTGTGTTGGAATCAGACTCCTTCTTTTAAAAAATATTTAAAGATCCGAATTGATATTACTAAAAGGACATTAAATGAAATAAAAGGATAAAAAAAATCTAAAGGGAATAATGATCAAAAATGAAGAAATATAATGCAAAATAAAAAAATAATCAAAATTTTTTTAAATTTAAAAATATACAGAGTAAATAAAGATTTTCTTTATTTTTTGGATTTTTCCTTCTTGATTGTATCTTGCACTTTTCTTTCTTTGATTGGCCCTTTTCTTAAGTCGTTTGAACTTTTTCCTTTTCGATTGTATTTTTTCTCAATTCTTTTCTCTTCTTAAATGAGAAATCCTGTTATTTTTTATCGTCATTTTGAAGAATATATATTTTTATTGCAAGGTTAATTATAACATTTAGGATCAATTGATTCAGAGAATTTCTTATTTCAATCAAACCCTAAGCTCTGGTAGGGGTTAGAGTTAGCTTAAATGAGACCTGGTAAATCAGGTGAAGGTACAAGTTATACATGTATAAATATTTTGGAAATTTATTTTTTTTGAAAAAATACATTCGGAATATCAAATAATTTTAACCATCATTTCTCTAAAATTATTATTTAAAAATCATAGAACAAACAATATAGTAATGGATGTTCGATATGTTCTGAATTGCGAAACAAAATGTTTTCTATTCATTATATATTATTCAAATAAATAACTTTTGTCATGATTTTTGCCGTTTTTGCCTGGATGAGTATATCCGCGCCATGGGCGAGGTGTGGTTTGATAATTGTAATAACCAGTAAATGGCTGCGGGTCTTCAATGTTATCGATCTTTGTGCATTTTTAAATAGGTGATGTATAAATAAAATATATGATATAATTTAAAGAAAAATGACCCTGCCCTATATATTTTTCCATTTTAAAAGAGGATGTTTTTTTTCTTTTTATTTATTTTTCCTTCTTTTTTAAAAAATTTTCATTTGTTTATAGTAAAGTTTTTTTTCTTTTCTGTATAGAGTTGATTAACTTAAGAATTAGTTCCGGCTTTTAAAAAATTCCTTTTTTATTAAAAAAAATAATCTTTACTATCACGTGATTGAAGGATGAAAAATAAATAAATGTCATCGTTGGACCACATATAACATTTAGAATTATTTATTTTTCAAATTTTTTGACCTACAACAAGACAAATTTCAAAATTTGTCCTATTTCCATAAAAATAGTAGTAAGAGAAAGTATATTCTAAAAAATATATAATGTCAAAGGTTAGTTATTAATAACTTATTATGATACGTTTGACCATGTTAAAAATGTAAATTTATTATTATTTGATATTTTTTTAAAATGACCCTGTCCCATATTCAACTGGTATTTTTTAAAAAATCATTCCTTTTTATTTGGTAATTTCCTATTAATTCTGTTCTAATTTATAATATATTTTCAGAAAAAGTTAAATTTGTTGATAAAATTTATTTCAGAATATTTATATTTAAATTATTACTTAGGATAGTGCTTTAAACGCTACTTCAAAAGAGAAACTCATTACTAGCTACTAGTTACGTTTGAAAAAAGGAACGCGTTACCGACTCGTTACCTAGTAAAAAAAGGAACCGCTACTCGTTATTTAAAAAAAGTTATGCGTTACTCATTACTTAAAAAAACTAAATATAATAAATTTTCTTTATATTTATTTTTAATTATATAAAAAAATTATATTATAAGATAAGTTCTTTTTGTAATCGTTTTTTATTTATATTTAACAACTTTGTTACGTTTTTCTGGCTAAAATAATGGCCGTTTTTAAAAATTGGCTCAAATTGAAGTTAACAATAATTGATTTTCAAATTTTTGATCAGAAAAGGGTTTAAGCTTAACATAGCTTTCACTGTGCTAAACAAACGTTCAACTGGTGTAGAGGATGGGAGGATTGCATTATATTTAATAAATATAAATTTTAATTTAGATTATTTATTAAAAATATTTAAAGAATGTTTTTATTTTCAAGAAAACATTAGATTATCTTCATAAAAACTTTATTTCAAATCATTATCTAATTTTTTTTATCTTGGTCAGAATTTAATCTGAATTCATATTTTTATTTTCATATCAAGGTTGAAATATTTGAAATACGACACTATCTGCACTTACAGAATGAAGACTACCCTCAACTTTATTTGTGTAAAAATTGGTTTATACTAAGGCCAGGGAAGAGTTAAATCATCTTCATCTAAAGAAATAATTATATTGCCATACATTTTTTATAAAGTAAATTATAATATTTGAGAAAATAAATTAACGTTGGTCTAGAATCGGATGCTCCACTTACAAAATTGTTAAACTGAGGAAAACAATTTTAAAGTTTAGATTCAAACCATGGCTGCTCAAACCCTATCTCTTCATTCGTTCATTCCAGAACCTGCAAATTGTAAGGATTATAAGTAAAAAATTGAGAGGTAATTTATTATATTATTTCCAAATGAGCCTTAAAATATTTTACGCAAAAAATTTTTGTGATAATTTTATTTGATAAAATCAATATGCAAGTGGATATTATGAATATTTTTTGAAAATGTTCCATTTCGATTTCAAAAATTAATATTTCTAAATTTTTATTTATATCATAATGAAAATTAATCAATACACTCCAAACTCAAAAATCTTGAGAGACAAGTTGAACATTCCAATTCGAAATGCAATTATATATTTAAAAAAATCCCAATAATGCAACCTAGGAAATAGATATTTTTTTTGTTCTTCATTTTATGAAAGATTTTTAATCAAATCTTGTTTTTTTTGTTAAGTATTTTTAAAAAAGTTTTTCAAAGTCTTTTTAACTATCCTGATCTTTTCAATAAACATTAAAAACCGGGACTCGGAACAAAGAAATTTTTCTTTCCAGCCATAAAAAAATGGAGTTTTATTCATTTGTAAGGTGGTGATACTATAATTTTAAAATTATATCTGGCAAAAGAGTTAATATAGTTTGATTAGAAAAATTTTTATGTGGAGACCCCCTTCCTCCCTCGTCCTAAAACAGTACATGTTTAGCCTTAGAGAGCCTGATCATATTTTACCTTTATAATTTATTTTATTTTATCATTAAAAAGAATATAAAATGAAAAGTGTCTAATTTGTTTATTGTAAAATGAAAAATGAAAAAAAATGCTAATTCAAAATCTATAAAACAAGTTTTAATCTTAGGGTTTACAAAAATAAATAATAGAGGTGTGTTATATTATTTATCTCCATATATCTTAAAACGTTTAATTATGCATTAAATTTTTATATACTTAGCTGAAATACTGCATATATAGTGGCGAACCAAGAGGCACAGTTCATTTCAATTTATTTTAAAACATCTGAGGTTTATTTAACTTGTAATAGATATACACTTTTCGACAAAAAAATATTTGCCTTTGGCCACTTCTAGGCAAGTCGGTTTTCAAAGCTGTTTCCTAGGCATATTTCCAGCAATTTTTTTTATTTCCCAAACAAAGAATAATAATATGTCGAATCAATTTTTTTGCAAAATATAAATTTGCCACTATTTGATCGTTAATAAAAATTAATGAATAAATAGTGGCTAATTTATGTAGATACAATTTTTTTGGTTTTATTATGAAAAAAAATAAATTCTACAATAACAACCCTACTTCGTTTGGGGAATTATAAAAAACGCTTAAAACGTGTCCAGAAACCCATTTTGAACGATATGTCTGGAAGTGACCTTATTTCAATTCATTTGAGTTCTATTCAAAAATATGTTTTTTATTGTGAAAAAATACAGAAATTATGTTCTATTAATTTCGTCTGGAGTATGAACAATATGTAAACCTTATATAAATATATCATTTGAGAGCTTAAACTCGCTTCTATCATCTGTGTGAGTTCCATATCATCTATTAGCATTTTTGTATAATATTTATTACCACTGAGGAAGGGGACACGTCGGATAGGGTACTTAGGAGCATTTTACCCTATTTAACTTTTTTATATAATATTCTTTGGTAAAATTTTATTTATATGAAAAAATTATAAATTAGTGTTTCCTGTGCAATCTTAATTAATATAAGGATAAAATATTGTCAAAATATTTTATTTTTATATTATCTTATATATTATTCTATATGTCTCGTTACTTGGTTCAATGTGCCCTAGTATTTTTGACTTGAAAAATCAAAATAAGTCAAAAAATTCAATTCACTTAAAAAAAATTAATTGTATACAATAGATAGATGCATCATTTAATCAGCTACCGTTTAAGCTGGTATAAAAATTTTTAATAATATTTACAAATTTTATAAATTTTTTACGAAATCCGGTCATCGATGCCTGGGTCTCCCTTATATCTATGAAATAATATGGATATGAAATTGCAACAGGTATATAACCATTAAATCATTAGTACTAAACCCAGGCAACCCCTACCCTTTAAATTGATTTTTAAATCAAAATTTTTTTGATAATAAATATTAATGCTCGGAGATACAATAGACAAAATTATATTTGAGCCACTAAATGCATTTTAAATCTGATACAAAATCACTTATATTAATAAAAAAAATTCTTAAAAGATTTCCCAATATTTTCATTATGAAATATTCCAAGAGACGATCATTTTCTAGCCAGGTGGCAAAATCTTTTAAAACCTAAGAAGATCCTACTTTTTATAAATAATCAGGAAATATATGTAATATTAATTATATTCATTTTAATATTATGAATTAAATTTAAATGACTCTGCAGGACTCTAATTCTTACATGGCTTATAATTACACATATAAATGAGCGTACTTTTTTCAACTTAAGATGATTGAAAATTTCCCTAGAGAATATATTTTAATAAATAGATTTAAATTTTGATTTTATTAAAATATTCGCGAAACTTATTTAACTTAAGAAATATTTTAAGAGATCTGATATCAGATTCCCTCTTACCCATCACCACTTGAATCTTAAAGTTTTGACCAAATTTACTTCTTGATTTACAATTCTAAACATATTAATTTTATCATATAGTATTTTATGACATTATTATAGAATTATGAAGGTTTTTGGATCCAGAATGCATCAATCGTAAAATAGTGGTAAAAAAAACATTTTGAAAGATACCAATTATATTACGGAAGGGGGATGGGATTTTCCTAGAATTTAACAAGGTTGTCGTAAGGGGATCTGTCTACAATAAAATCAATACTTGATAAACTTTGGAAATGGAATAGTGTAATGATAATATATAGCAATTTAGTTTGAACTAAGTGGAAGTTAAAACTACATTTTTTTTTCCTATTAACATAAAATCATTATAAAGGCAATGTAGTATTTTAAAACGCTTTCCTTTAAAATTGATTTGAAAGGAGTTCCATATAAAATTTACGCGAAATATAATTTACCTTTTGGGGAAAAAACCTAGCACATTTTATTTTATAAACTTAGCAATATTTATATAAAACTAAGAAATTTTATTTAAAAATTAGGAAAATATTAATATTTATTAAAAACTTAGCATTTAATTTATATTATGAATATTAAGGATGGGTCCAAAGTCAAAATTATTTCAAAAAAATAATGATTCTCGCATTTGTACATTATGTGTCCAAACTCGATTTCTTTCAACAATAAATTAATTTTTTTTAAAATAAAATCCTAATTATTTGATTACTTTCATCTCATTAAAGTTTATTTATTTCTTTTTTTATCTTTCTTTTTGTTCCTTTTCTTATTTTTTGCTCATGTTTTTTGCTTTTCTTTCTATTTTATTTTTTCCACTTATTTTTTATTTCTCTTTATTTCCTTTCCTTTCCCTTTTCTCATTTATATTATGGTATTTTGTTTTCCTGGTTTCCTTATTATAAATAGAATACAAACAAAATTAAAAGGCCCAACTTTAACTAAGCAAATCAAATTTAATCAAGATATTTTATTTAATTTTTTGTAAAAAATAGATTTCAAACAAATTAAAAAATTTGTCCATTTTAACAAATAGGAAAAAAGAAATGTAGAAAAAGAAAAAAGTGCGTTTTTTCTTACTTCATCTCCATTTTCATGAATTGATCGGGTTGCCTTGCCCCACATGACCTTTGTAAATTGAACATGTAAAATTAAGAAAATTGATAAAAATTTTAAAATCGAAGATGACATTTTATTAAATTTATTTTCTTAAAAAAATTCTTTAAAGGAAAATATTTTAAAAAATTTAATTTTTTTTAAAAGAATTAAAAAATAAATAAATAAAATTGGGAAAATTTTTTTTAAAAATAATCAGAAATAAAATATAATTTTTGAATTAAACAAATAAAATGTTAAAAAGAAATTAAAAAAAATGAATCAAAAAGAGAAAAGAATCGAATACGAGAGAATTGAAAAATAAAGCAAAAAAAGAAAGATTTTTCTTTCTCTACCACATTAAATTAATAAAAATTGGGAGATAGAATTTTATAATTATCAAACCATGCAAAAAGAAAAAGCATGAAATATATTTTCCCTAACATAAATTAAATTAAATAATTTTTTTTAAACTATAATATATTATTCTTTAAATGTCGAAATATTAAAATTGCTTTTTGTAGTTTTGTTTTGTTTTTTGTGTGGGAAAAGACATATTATGAACTTTTTTGGTTGACAATTTTTATTTTCATGTATTTAAAAAAAATTGAGGTAGATGAGAGGGGTTAGAGATTTCTCTGTCAGTATTCAATAAATCGTGCCCTCTTATGATATATCGCAAATTTTAGGTTTAAAAAAGTTTTAAATATAATATATATATTACATTACAAATGAATTTATTATCTCAATCCGAAAGCAGAGCAATTACCTCCCAATAATTTTGTCTCGCTTTTTTATATCGAAATTTAATAATTATACACCCTCCTCTTTTTCTTTTTATTTATATATTTTTTAGAGAATTTAATTTATACTATGTATAAATGAAGATGAAGCACTTCATATAATAAATAGGTAGCCCTTCCTAAAGGGCTAGTAAATTTGATTTAAAATAAAATATTAAATACTCATTTTATAAAAGAATCTTAAGCCATATTTTGTAAGGTAAGATCTACTTATCCAAAGGGTATATGCGTGTATGTTATAATTTCAAAAAATTAATTATTTAATAAAAAATATATTATAATAATAATGAAAGGTTTTGAACTTTCTAATAATTTTTAAAATGATAATTAATTTATGTGAAATACTTTCAAATTTAATTTTTTTTTATTAATTACATAATTTTACAAAAAAATATATAAAATATATTATATGAAATCATTTTTTAGGTGAAAAATTTAGCGGATTTCTCGTAAAAAATTTTGGCGTTCATTATCTTTTTTCCCCTATAAATAAACATTTCTTCGTTTACTTCTCTCCTATGTCGAAAATTGTATTATTTATTACTCAATTATATATATGAATACATTTTAAACCTGCACGACCATTATATTAGTATTGTATTCTCATATTTAGAAATAAATCATCGAGGAAGTTGACAGTTTAGTCTTCTGGATGAGTTTCATGGTTCGATCTTTGCATTCGGTTTTGGTTTAAAGAGCAAAATCTTTATTTTATTTTTTGATTATATAATTTTTAATTTTTAATTAACAAATTAAATATAGGCAATTGAATCAACTTCATTCCCTGTAAACAATTTTTGCCCAAGCAGATAACTTGTAAAAAAAAGATGAGTGATAGATCATCAAGCAAGTTAATACAATTATTCACGTGTATTATTGGGTCAGGTAATGTCTTAAAATTTGAATATAAAATGAAATGATTAAAATTTTATGCTTATCTTATTATTATAATATGAATATGTTTATTGCACCCAGTGGTGTTTTTATTTGAGGGGTTTAAAAGCATATTTTCTTTATTAATGGATGCCACAAAAATGGTCTTAAAAAAGAATTATCGTTTTTTTTGTTATAGTGTTAATAAATGTTTTGAAGCCTCAATTTTACATTTTTTGATGGTGCTCAAAGATTTTTTTAAAAAGAAGAGGCTATTTTTTATTTTGAGGAGGCGAAACAACTCCTTTGCCCCTCCCTTTTAATGCTAATGATTATTACTGCTTTATTAGTTCTCATTTTCTATTATTTAGGCTTTGCAAATCAATTAAATTTTTCAATTTAATATTTTATTCGACACATAGGTTTCCAAAACCAAAATCGACATCATTCAAACTCAGCAAATCCTCTTTTAGAACCCGTTTAATTGCTTTAACTATTCATGGTGGTATCCTTTACATTGCTGTAGGATCATTTATCCAGGGATTAATCTGTTATAATAATTAGAATATTATTATTTGTATTGATATTAAATAGTGGTTTATATAAATTTGAATAGTTACGGAAAATAGTTTTTTTATATATAAAGTTAAATATTAAAATTTTAATAAATGTTAGTAGTATAAATATAGCGATAAAAAGATGTAATATCAAGAAGAAAGAAATTGTTGTAAATTTTAATTTTTATTATGCTTTTTTATTTTTGTTATGATTTATTTAATTACAATTTATATTATCTAATAAGTAATTAGTAGTTCATTTTATTTATTCTATTTTATTTGTATTCCCTAAATTCTCAACTACAACATTTGTTGCCGAAACCCGTATGTACTATGATGCGCCTATACCTTCAGTCTATAACTCTGAAATTCTAAATAAAGGGGGGAAGGGGATGTATTAAATGACCATCGACAATATAAAGAATGAGAGCAAATAAACAATGGTATCAATAACCAGACAAATGGTCGTAGTTCGAAAAAGCATAGAATTAGTCGTTTTAGTCTCAAGAGATCGTGATAATTAAAAGGAATTCGTCAAGAGATCGTTATACGTACAGGTACAAGTGATCGTTTTAGCTAAAATAAATTCGTTATTTTTATTAAAGATATACGTTTAACGGTGAATTAAGTTGATAATATTTAGCAAAATATTAGGTTGTTGATTGACCAAAATCTTCATAAAGAGAAACGGCTTTCATCATTAGAAAATTCATGCCGCAATCTAGCTCGTTTAGAGATCGGATTTTTTTATTTGAGATCATTTAAGATACAAGAAATCGTTATCGTTGACATGATGAGACAAAAGAGATGCTTTCGCGAAATATGGGGATAACTCAAAGTTCAAGCTGTAATCGGACACGAACAGTTTTTAGAAATAAGAATGCAAGCAAAAGACAGCTGTAGTTATAAATTAGAATACATTCAAGATTAAGAAGAATATATTTGGTGGAGATACAAGACTAAGTCGAAAGATAGTTGTTCATTCGCAGAATGGTGGATCCAAAGTAAGTGGAAGGGTGTTATAATAATTAGAATATTATTATTTGTATTGGTATTATAAATAGAGATTTATCTAAATTTGAATAGTTACGGAAAATATTTTTCATATATAAAGTTAAATATTAAAATTTGAATAAATGTTAGTAGTATAAATATAGCGATAAAAAGATGTTAAAATTTTAATTTTGTTATGATTTATTTAATTACTAATATTATTTAATAAAGTATTAGTAGTTAATTTATTTATGCTATTTTATTTGTATTCTTTAAATTCTCAACTACAACAGTCAGGATCATCAACGAACACCTCAAACATGATGCTATCTTCCAAACTCCTATAGGTTTTTAAATCAAGGGATTTTGCAAAATTGCGTCACATACACGGTCATAAATGATTGCCCACCCTGCATTTTCTTAGATATTTTTCTTAAAATAAACACACAATATGAGGTTTAACAAATTTATTTATAAGTTTACATATTTTTGCATAAAATTACAAAAAATAAATGACATAGCAATTAATTAAGATCAAATTTTGGTCTCATCAATATGACCACTTTTATTCTTAATAATTGCTGCAAAAATTTTTGATAATCTTTCGATGAGATTTTTTAAATATTCGGAATTGATATTGTTCCATTCTCTGGTGCGAATGAGAGGTTAGTGGACTTTTTCGCGCTTGTCGATCAAGGTGATCCCATAAAAGTTCGATTGGATTGAGATCGGGAGACTGGGATGGCCAAGTCATCAACTCGAGAATATCGTGTTGTGAATTTTGTGAATAATCTTTGCATAGCCTGGTTGTATGCTTTGGGGCATTATCTTGTGAAATAAAAAGTTTTTCCCGATCAAACACTTTCCTGATGAAATCACATGGTCCTCAAGGATTTGCCGGTACCCCTCCTTGTTAAGGATTCCTTTAATTTTGACAATGTCGGCGGTTGCCCCGGCACCAAAGCACCCCCACACCATAACAGACCCTCCCCCGAGTTTGACTGTAGAAATTATGCAGTGATCACTCATTCGCTCTCCAGCTGAGTGGCAGATATATTGCCTTCTTTTAGAACCTAAGATTTCGAATTTTGACTCATCACTCCATAAGACGTGGTACCAGTTGGCAGATGTCCAAAATTGATGTTTTCGAGCCCAGTCTAATCGCTTGAGTTTATTTTTTTTGCTAAAGTGGTTTTTTGACCGCTACCCTACCATAAAGTTCAAAGCTCCAAAGGCGCCTTTTCACAGTTGTGACGCTTATCGGGTTTCCCCGTATCAGATTAATCTCCACAGCTATCTCTGAGGCGACAAGGCGTCGATTGCGTTTACTGATCCTTGCTATATACCTATCATCGCTTAAAGTCGTTTTGCGGGGTCTTCCAGGCCTCTTTGGATTCTATATTGTATTATTGTTGCGTAATCTTTTAAGTATACAATCGACTGTTCGTCGTGCTAGGGTTAATTCTCTGGCAATTCGGCGATTACTTTTACCACTTATGTGTAAATTAATTATTTTGCACTTAGTTGGAATAGAAATTTCTTTTCCTTTAATCATTTTGGTCGAATGTTAGTTAAAATATTTATAAAGACTTCTTTAAATAAAACAAAAAAAATCTAGGAATTTTTTTTAAAATAATTAAAAATAGGTATTAATAAGCAGATTAGAATGTGATTAATAACTTTCTTCCAAAAAACAATGGGCAACTTAAAATTGTTGCTGAAAAAAACTAATGAACCTTATTTTACCAAAATCATTTTTGACATGTTATTTTCAAAGGCTAAAATTTCATAGAAAGATTTATAGAAATTCCGAGTTTTTTATTTCTAAACATGTCTAGACATCTTAAATTAAATAATCAATTCGCTTTTACCCAAATATGTTAAAAAGTTTTAAGTTATTAATTTTTTTTTGTAAAAATGCAAGGTAGTCAGTCATTTATGGATTGAAAATCTCCCAACAGGCTCTGTAATATGCAAACTAGACTATAAAAGCGCCTCCAACAGCCTACGCCGGATTTCTTTCCCGGCCAGTATTATCGAATCCTTAGCTTTTAAACGCCTTACATATGGATCATCCGATTCTGCACCAATATAAAAATATGATAATAATAATGATATTCCAATAGCTTACACCTCAAGATCTTTGCAAGACGCTGAAAAGAATTATTACAATAGACAAAGAAGCAAAAGCAATAATAAACGGCGCAGAGAAATTCCATAACTAATTGTATGGACGAAAATTTAAAATTTGAACAGACCACAAACCTTTAATAAAGATATATGGTAATAAAAGAGATTTAAGCTCATTAACAAACCAAAGATTATTACGTTGGGCTTATAAATTATCTTCATATGATTATAATATAATGTACAAGAATGGCGCTAATAATATAATTGCAGAAGCTTTCGAAACCCAAAAGAGAAAATGATGATAGAATAACAAGTGAAAATAAAACAGTGAAATATATAAGAAATCTTACTTATGACACATTAACTCTATCAAGAAAAGAACTTGAGGAAACCGAAAAAGATCCTATTTTAAGAAGACTAAAAATATTAATAAATAATACAAATATATAAAATCAAGCACCAGAATTACAAGCTTTTAGAATAAAAATAGATGAAATAGAAAATGATAACGGTATTTTATTTGGAATGGAGATTAATCATTCCGTACCCACTTCAAAAAGAGTTTTACATATATTGCATATAAAACATCCGAGTATTACATCAATGAAACCCATTACAATACATTATATATGGTGGGTCGAAAAACTGCAAAGATATACCAAGTGCGTATACCAGGGGAATACGCCATCACAACCCTGGAAAAGGGAAGAAGAAAAAGATAAAATCGTAGGAAAACATGCCGACCAACTACGATCAATAGAAGAACCAGTGGAATCCGAATCATAAGCTAGTAGATGATAAAACAATAGAAACAATGGAACAAGTCAAGAAGGATTTCTATCCAACGAGACATCGAAAGCCAACAAGATTAATAAATTGTACAAATATACAAAATCAAACACCAGAATTACACACTTTTAGAACAAGAATACATGAAATAGAAAATGATATTTTATTTTGGAATGGCAGATTAACCATTCCGTACTCACTTCAAAAAAGAGTTTTACATATATTGCATACGGGACTAGTGTTGAGTAATCGGCTAATTTTAGCCGACTAAAAACGGATTAGCCGAGATTTTAGGTGGAAAAATCGGCTAAGCCTAATTAGGTATAGCCTAAAAATCGGCT